CTATTTACTGTACAGAAATACTGTAAAATTAATGAATGTTAGAATGATGTCGGAATGAAGTTAAGTGGTTTTAGCAGCAATGTTACAAAGGAGTATGTAAAAATGGATTGTTAACAGGTGAGAATCTAAAGTTATAATATATTAAGATAAAGGATTAAGATAAAAGCAAGAGGGAAAGGATTTGCTGAGTTAACTAACTGAATCGGAATACAAAAAAGGGAGGTGTGAGGAGGTCAGGGAAACAAGTAAATGAAAGACAAGACATGGAAAGATTGATTTGTATTTAATTGTTTTTGTTTTTCTTTATTTTGTATTTTCTTTTTTTTCCTTTTTCTTTTTTTTGTAATCTTTTTTGAAACTTTAATAAATATCATTTAAAAAAAAAACTTATTTTCTTCAGCTAAACCCAGTGTCTGGCTTGACAGAGGACAGTTTTCTATCCGAGGGGCCGACAGAGCAAAGTCCTCTGTTTGAAGGGCCGGTGGGGCAGAAGGCAAGGAGGACAGCAGTACTGGAGCCCACGGTCAATGACAGTGTGAAGCTGCCTCTTACCTGTTGGCAGCACCTGGCTGCCAGACTGAGGAGGCACACAGGAGGTTTACCTGGTGACACTCTCCTCCTCGATGGTGAGCCGTGATGTGTTTCTATAACTGTAATTATCATAAAAACTGGTGTATGCAAAACATATGCTAATCCGTGTCCTCTTCTGGCCTTTCTTTCGGCAAATCCTTTCTTCTGCTTTGGGTGATGTGGCTAGCAGCGTTGTCAAAACCAGGGCTGCATTGTAAAAATCACAGGCGGTGCCCGAGACCAGGCCACGGATGGTGGGTGAGGGCAGCCACACGTGAAACCTTCCCTGTCTGGAAGCACCCCAAGGAACAACACCGTACCCATTCCCTGTTCCCAAACGCATACATCCTGCAAATAATTTCTGGCCAATCAGTACAATTTCTGTGCCTTTGCTTGGTTTTCTTCCAACAGTGCATGTTTTGAACTAGAATGTTAGAAGACTCTTTATTATTATTATTTTTTAAAAAGTCGAAGTCTAGACTCTTTTGTAACTTGCCCTGCCATGCCACCTTTTGAAGGAACTGTTGAGTGTCTGAATGAATTGTCTGGAGCCTTGGTCTGATTGCAGGCAAAGGCCAGCCCCACAGCTAGAGATGTTATTTATCTGCCTGTTGCATTTACACCCCACTGTTTGTCCTCCAAAGGAGCTCAAGTTGGACTGCATGGTTCTCCCTGCCCCCATTTAATCCCCACAACAACCCTGTGAGGTAGGTTAGGCTGAGAGGCATGTGGCAAGTATTGAGAGGGAAGTAGCTGGCGTTGGGTTAAGGCAGTCAATATGGCGGCCTAGGCTGTAGGTACACAGAAGGTCTTATAGCTTTATAGTCAGAAGTGGCGTGGGATTGGCTCCCTGAAATCACCTGATTCCATGGGCCAAGAGGATTGTGGGCTTTGGTGTTAATGCTCTTGACTTGGGCTGCCTGCATTTCTAGGTCAGTGGCTCCAGTTGCATAGGAAGCAGAGAATTGGGTGCCCAATGGACAGGACTCTTAGCTGACATCTCCTTGCGCCTGACACAACCTCAAGAGCAGGGCATCTTTCAGACATCATGTCCGCAACCAGCTCTGACACAGAAGTCCCTGTTTGTGAGCTGAGGTGGTGACGTTGTGCCAGACCAGAGTGCCCTTGGACTTTTATGCGTATTGAATTTGAACACCCACCTGCCCCCCCCCAATAAAGGCCAGGAAGGAGCCCTGCTGGCGATAGTGTGCAGAACACAATGTATGCAGAGTTCTCTGCACACACCATTAGCCATCACACAGCTGCCTCTGTTGTGTGGTACTGGCAGCTTAGCAGAAACAAAGCAAAATGAAGCCTAAAAAAAGCCAAATTAGAAGGATATCTGTTCAGATTTTTGCAAGCAAATGCTAGGAGGAAGAACTCGCTTGAAATTTGCGTCTGCCAATCATTCAGTACCGATGACAATTGGGGGGGGGGGGAGCAAGCTATCTTTTTATGATCCTTGGTTTCAAACCACATTTTCTTGTATTTCTGGGCTCTATACACACACAGGAAAATGAGGCTGGCTAATGTACTCACCCATACCAGAGGCCTTTGACTGCTACCAGATATGATTAGGAGTTCCTGATTATTTTCTGGCCCTCCACTGCATAAATCTCTCATTCCTCAAATGCAGCCCCAAACAACTAAGGTTCAAGCCCAGAAGCTTTTCAGTGCTGGGGCTTATGCCGAGCTGAAAGTTATTGACAGGGGAGTCTTTCTTCCTAACAGAGGGTTAATTAGGTCTGTGGGAAATGCACTCTGCACATGCTTTGAAACCCTCTTTTCCTTATGATTACTTCATATTGCATTTTTCAGACCCAGGGCTGGCTCCATTGGGTAGCAAGGTAGGTCAAAGGGCTCATCTCTCCAACTCCATAACTCATTCTCACTCTGAATGCTCAGGGAGGTCAGAAAAATCAGGAGAGAATTTGGAGAGAGTCCACTGAGAATATCTTGTCCTCAGCTCCACAAAACTGTGAATCTGGCACTCATGTGGCACAAATAAGGAAGCTTGACATGGGCATATCAAGTCAGGGCTTATTCTGGGCGCTCTAATGGACATCAAACCTGTAGGAAAAAATGAAGCAAAATCCTGACGAATCCAATTTCACAAAGCTGGCCTCCTTCCACTCAGACTGCCGGCTCCTCGAGGGCAAATTGCTGAGTAGACAGGGAGGTTGTATGAATTTTCAGAAGGCCTGGGAGGTCTCAATCTGTTATCATTGTGTTGCGGTTGGAGGTTTCCTCTTTGGGAAGCTTCATCTTCCAAGCAACCTTGGAGAATCTCTTTTGGCTGATTCTTCTCCTTCCTTCCCCTCCCTCCACGCACCCCAAAATCACAAACTGCTTCTTGCCCGCCCTGCCCCATTTGTAGAAGTATTGTTCAGTGAAGAATGCTTGGTGGTTACAAGAGGGAAGGTTCTCTGCCACCCACCCCAGTTATTCAAATAAACACAACTGGTGAGGTGCTGGGGGGGGGGGACGAGGACAAGGCAGAAGAACCCTACCAGGCAATTTCTTAGAGAAAGCAGTTACAAAAAGATTAGGAAAGAGGAGGGAGGAGAGAAAAAGACGGGGGGAGGGGGAGAAGAGAAAGAGAGAGAGAGAGAATGAGAATAAAAGGTTATTCACATCTTTCAAAGGTACCTCAGGGAGCATTTGCCGCAAATGTCTATTGGCGCTTTTTTATTAAAGTTGCCAAAAAAATTGTGTTAGCTAATGGATTCTTAATTCTGTCGGAAAATGGGCGCAGGAAAATTATGCTATTCATCTTGTATTGGTTCGAAATCACATCTGACATCTAATCGATCATGGTGCGCAACATTAACTCTTTGGATTGGGACCAACTTTCTCTCTTCTCTGCCCACCCCACCTCCTCCTCCTCCCCACCTCCTTGCTGTGTTCTCCCCTCCCTCTCTCTTTGTGTGCTATGTGTAAGCCTCTCAGTTTAACTGCTTCACTGCTGCTGTTTTGCACCCATCCAAAGGTTCTTTTTAAAAAGTTTTTTTTTAATTAAAAAAACCTGGTATGTGCCTTGTGCTGTGTGTGTGCGCGCTCTCTCGTTCCGCAGCATTATTTTCATTCCTCATTTGCCGACAGATTGTGATGTTGCGTTATCATCAATTCTCCCCCTCCACCCCTTTTTGATGCACATTTGAACTTCTATCTTCCTCCTCATCAATGCTCCTCCTTTGACCTTTACTTGACCTTGTGCCCTCCATCCTTCCCTACAAGGAGAGACAACAGAGAAAACAGACTGGCAACCTTCCTTGAACAGGATGCTAGGTTTGTTTCTCCCCCACCTCTTCAATTCCAGGACCATAAAAGCCCCTACCCCAGCAAGAGGCACTGCTCTTCTCTCTGTTAAATAATTATTGTTATTTTCAGGGCTTTTTTTCAGCTGGAATTCGCTGGAGCTCAGTTCTGGCACCTCTCAGGTGGGCACCATTGCCATTATAAAAGAACAAGGGGTGTTCTGGGGAGTTCTGGCACCTCTTTATCTAGAAATTAGCTGCTATTATTATTATTATTATTATTATTATTATTACTTCTATACCTAAATAATGTACATTTTATCTTAAGCATCTTGCACTGTGTGCCGCATTCACAGTCAAGACAACTTTAAAAAACTTAGTTGTACTTCAACAAACCTCTTGTCCTCTCAGTCAGAGTCTTCTGCCCTCCTTTTCAATGGATGCACTGAAGAGGCAACTGTAGTCTATATGATATATATGTATATTACATTATATATGTAATAAATATATGTATATTACATTATTAGAAGTAAAGAAAGGGGAACAAAGAAATATTTTGCTATGCTAGTTTGTTATAATCTTTGAAAGGGCAGATCCAATTGCATCTGGGGTCATTCACTACTGTATTCTAATTTACTATAGGATTTGGGGCAATTTGCAGGGGTCAATAACCAAGAAGACCCTGCTTTTTCGTATCAATGGATTGGGAAGCAAGAGCTTCCCTTTACTGAGGTAGGGGAGACAAACATCCCTTGGTTTACCCGCTACTTTTAAAATAAAAGGACAAAATTTATTTCTTTATATTTTCTTGGTGTCCAAATAGCAACTCCCAGTGCAGTAAAGATTATAATAAGAAACCAGATTGTGGACAACTATCTGCCCTTTACTGCTACCCTCAAATTTGCCACCTGAGGTCGTCGGTCTCACTTTACCCAATGGCAGGATTGGCCCTGTGATCATCATATGTTACATCACAAAATTATTGGGTGTGGCCTCTGAGTCACATGATTCAGCTACCTTGCTGAAGTTAAGCAGAAGGACTCAGTCTGGACAGGGCTTGGCTAGGAGATCAAGTGGGTAATCTATATGTGCCGTCCTGAATGGTAGGAGTATTGAAGAAAGGCAGGAGTATTGAAGTATTTAATTAATTACAACAACAATATATAATAGCTGCCCATGACCCAGAACCACAATCCACATGACAATCACAACAGCAATAAATATCCTGTCTGTTGGGGTGGGTAAATAACCTCCCCGCACCCCAGCCACAAATTACTTTGGTTTGTGCGAAATGCGCTATGTTTGCAACAGAAGCAGAGCATCGTCAGAAGGCCTGTAGAAATCCAATGCTTTGCACAGTAAATGGATTGTGGAGAAATGATCACTGGGTCTTCTCTCTCCCAAAGAAATCTGATCCTGGAATGGCTGCTCTGAAATCTCTTTGTAAAAGGTGAAGCAAAACAAATTCGCTGTGCAAAAATATCCCCTCCTCTAAGGTTTTTGCATTTCCTTAATGAGCATTGGTGGCTGGTGGCTACTAGTTATTGCCCAGATCTCTCCAGGTGAGGTGGGAGCTGAGAGGAGAAACAGCCTGGGCAGTTGGAATGAAGCCAGCAAAGAAGATAGAAGTGCCCCCCCTCTCTATATATATACATGCATGCACGCTGCAGCTGGCTGGCAGGAAGGAGCCATTACTCTGAGGGCATGGTGTTTGCTTTTAGGGGGAAATGAATGGTACCTGAAGATTAGCCGTGTCTGCCTGCACGCTTCCCTGCATCCTTATGTGCAGCCTGCATATTTGTAAATAAACAGATGGCATGAAAATGCCATTTAATCCCTGGTATTTTCTTCTCCCAAGGTAACTGACCATGTAAGAAAACACCTTTCCCCCTCAACCCCAAAACTTTCCATTGCTCGACAAAAGCAGGGCGTGCAAAACAAGATGAAAGCAGCAGCAGCAGCAGTCAGTGGGTAGAGCAGGATAGTTTCTAAAAGGCACAGCTGCTCAGCATCCAAGGGGACCAGAGCTGCCATTACCATTGTGTGCAACCCATTCATCTGGCATCCACGCGAAGGAGGTGAGAGAATCCTCTTCCGCAATCTGGAGGCGGTGATGATGGTGCATTTTCAGCCCTCCGATCTAAACCCAGATTCAGCCGCTTCTGGACACCGTTTTCATGGTCACACCAAGGCTGCGATCCTACAAGCACATTGTACCTGGGAAGAAGTCTCATGGATCTCAGTGGGCCTTGCTTCTGAGTAGACACAGAACCACAGAATTGCAGAGTTGGAAGGGACCACGAGGGTCATCCCTGACATGCTTAGGATGAGCACCGCAAGTGTCTTACTCTCTTCTCCTCCACCCCCCTCCTCCTTTTCTTCCTTTTTTTTCCTTTGCAAGATGTCTCTTGCAGTGTCTGCATGTAGTGCAATGGGGGGGGGGGGCGGTTTGAGGTGGCAAAATAAATAAATAAAGGGAGGCCTTATGGTGCCCGCCGAACTGAACTCCGAGGTGCCTAAAGGCAAATGTTAATGCAACAGCAACTCTGAGAAGGAGAAATCTAAATGAGTGAAGAGGGGCAGCTACAGCCATATGTCAGGAAGGCTCAGGATGCATTGGGGGGGAGTGGGAGTGGGGGGGTTAGGGGGGGTGGGCTCTGACTTCCGCCAACCAAGCTGGGCTTCGTCGCCATGGCAGAGCACTACGGGAGCCAGCCTCTGACAGAAACAGATACACGTGGCTCAGCGACAGTGGTGGCTGGTTCGTTTGAGCAAGTGGGGCACACTGCCTCACTCACCTCAGTCGGCCCTTGGCCAGCCCCCTCACCTGCTCTGCCCTCTTCCCGACATCCAGTCCAGGGGATAACACACTGACTCTCCAGGTGTCCCTATTCTCCAGGGACAGTCCGAGATTTAAAGAAGCCGTCCCCGTTTCTGATACAATCCTGGAACATGCCGCTATTCCTTAAAGGTAAAGGGACCCCTGACCATTAGGTCCAGTTGTGGCCGATTCTGGGGTTGCGGCGCTCATCTCACTTTATTGGCCAAGGGAGCCGGCGTACAGCTTCTGGGTCATGTGGCCAGCATGACTAAGCCGCTTCTGGCGAACCAGAGCAGCGCATGGAAACGCCGTTTACCTTCCCACTGGAGTGGTACCTATTTATCTACTTGCACTTTGACGTACCTTCGAACTGCTAGGTGGGCAGGAGCAGGGACTGAGCAATGGGAGCTCACCCTGTCGCGGGGATTCGAACTGCTGACCTTCTGATCAGCAAGTCCTAGGCTCTGTGGTGTAACCCACAGCGCCACTTGCGTCCCCCACTATTCCTTAGGATGCCCCTATTTTCATCAGAGAAATGTTGGAGGGAATGGAGGACCCCCAAGCCAAGGAGATAAGTAACTGTACAACCTTTAGAAGACACCTGAAGGCAGCCCTAGATAGAAAGGTTAAAAAAAAAAGTTTAAAGTTTTGTTATGTTTTCATTTTCATTTATGCCGGAAGCCACCCAGAGTGGCTGGGGCAATCCAGTCAGATGGGCGGGGTATAAATAAAACGATAACAACAGCAGCAACAAAAATATTCAACAGGTGCAACTTTGACTGCTAAGGTAGAGGGAAATGACACCTATTGAATTTCTTCTAAACACACAGCTGTCAAAGGCACAGGAGCCTCTAGGAGGGTTGTGGTTCCCTGGTCACAACTCATTTTCTGAATGATCTCAGAAACCATTCATTCATTTCTCAGGTGTGAGCACCGAGGGCAGCTCACTGAATTCTGCCAGATATCTGCCAGGGGCTCACCCACGCAATCCTTCAGCACACCTGTTTGCTTTTGCAACGGGGATTTTAAAAATAACAACTCCAGTCGCAGACTCTCAACGGTTGACTTAGGAACACCTGCTTTTAAAAATAAATAAATAAACCAGTCAAAGCCATAGCAGTTGAAACCAGTGGGTGCTGTGCGTATCTTTTTGGGTACTTACAAGGAAAGTTCTGCCAGCTTGCCAATTCTATTGCACTGGAAGAGGAAGAGGACTGGCAATAGGAAATCACATTATAGCACTATGCGAACATCATTTGTGGAACTCAAAACCACAAGATATAGCGATGAGGACCAGTGGTTTACACTCCTTTCCCGGGGATTAGGCTAATTCATGCAGCAAAAGGCAATTGGCAGCTATTCACCATGCAGAACTTCCAGGTCTAGGTTAAGACAGTCTGCTTTTGAATACCAGTCACTGTGGCTCAGATTGTGTGTGGTCTTCATGCCCTGCCTATGAGCCTCACAGAAGCATCTGCTTGGGCACTGTGGAAAGCATGATGCTGGGCGAGACGAACCTTTGGTCTGATCCAGCAGGCCGCTCGAGTTCTCCAGACCAGGAGAAGCAGAATGAATTATGCAAGGCAAAATGTGTGCTTGAGCTGCATAATTTATAACGGTGGCAGAATCCCGCGTTTCTCGAAGCAGAGTTTGGGTTACCTCGATTCATGGTTCAGGTGGCTGACCCAGCTCATAACTGCTCTCAGGTCCTATCTGACCCCCATAGGGATGAGCGCTGGCCCACAGGTGGGCTTTGCGTAGCCAGGTGAAAAAGAGGGCAGGGCTCCTGCACTTTGAGTGCTCGTGCAGTAGAGGGCGCTTCAGCGAGAGCCGCATGTCACAGAAAACTGCAAATTCTCTCTTCTGCACAAGTCTTAAAGGGGTCCTTGCTTGCTTTTGCATCTGAATGGCAACCAGTGATTTCACAGAACCGTAGAGCAATTAGCAATATTTGTTGCATTACCACACCAACCTCAGTCTGCCTTCAGCCAGCTTCCACCTGCCTCCCTTTCTACTCACAGCCAACCCCGAGGGCAGGGGCTTCCTCCTCCTCAGTCCCTGTGGAACTCAGCAGGGAGGAGGATAGAGATGGAACTCGAATGAGTTGGCCTCGCCTGTCATTGGTTCTGGCTCCCCCTACTGTTCGCCTCCCTGCCTTCTGCCCTACCAGGTCGCCAGCCACCACTGACTTGGAATCAACTTGGAATTTTTCCTTCTCCCAGAAGGCACAAATGGTATTGAAAGCACAATAACTGCCCTGATAGCAGGGCAAAGCTTGACTGGTGTCTGGTGTGGTCCAAAGAGTGGGAAATCCCACATTATTATTATTATTATTATTATTATTATTATTATTATTTTAATTAAGTGCGGAAGTACCCTAATCCCACTTATCTGACAGAAATGCCCATTGGATTCAATGGGACATGGTTAGAATGGCATCCTACATAATGAAGACTCTGATGGGACTTACTTCTGAGTAGACACACAGATGAATGCTCGCTTAGGCAGGCACACGCTTACCTCAGAGTAAGCTCTATTGCAAACCATCGCTTTTGAAAGGAAAAGTATAGGACTGCAGTGTTAATGGGTTGGGGATAATAGAAAAGGAATTGAAGACATGGAATCTATTGCTGGGAGTGAGTGGGTAGGAAACATAGCAAACCACCCAAACCACAACATGTATAACCAATCCCAGCAGTCAGGGGCAGTGCTTTCGGCAGTCCGACACCTGCTCAAGAGGAATGGTCTGAGTGGCAGCAGAGCTCAGTCTCAGGTGATGTCTCTGGAATGGGCAGTCCAGCCAAGTAGGTAGCTCCAAGGTCATGGTAGAACTCTTTGCAAGTCCTTGGCTGTGCATTCACTGCCAGTGCTGGGTGTTTAATCCGTGTTCACACAGAATGCATATGTATGTTGTACTTTGTAATAAAATACAGTTGTACCTTGGATCCTGAACACCTTGGTACTCGTCCGTTTTGTCTCCCAAATGCCGGAAAACCCAGAAGTGACTGTTCTGGTTTCCGAACGTTCTTTTGGAAACTGAACGTCTGACGGGGCTTCTTGCAGCCAATTGGAAGCTGTGCCTTGGTTTCCGAACATTTTGGAAGTCGAACAGACTTCCAGAATGCATTGACTTCTGAGGTACCAGTGTTGTTTCTCAAGCCAGCTTCACACTGATTGGAGTTCTTAAGCAATTCCTAATTTGTCTCTGACCAAGGTGTGAGCACCTTCGCATGGGTGGGGTGGGGGAAAAGATACTGTCAACACCCCCCCCGAGGGGTGTGCACATCCAGATATGAATCTGACACTAAACAAAACCATGCCAATGTCAACCTGAACCCCAGAGCAGTTTGGCTTGCTAACATATTACAGTGACGACACACTGTAACTTTGCTTCTAAACCCAGCCGTTTAGAAGTTGTAGTTCTGCTGGTTTCTTGGGGATCTATTTTCAAATATGCCTGGACAGCTCAGTTGGTTAGACCATGATGTTGAGAACGCCAAGGTTGCAGGTTCGATCCCCATATGGGACGGCTGTAAGTTCCTGCCTTGCAGGAGTTCGGACTAGACAATCCTCAGGGTCCCTTCCAACTGTACAACTTTATGATTCTATAAGCCTCACTTCTGAATGAACCCTATGTTCATAAGCCACTATGGCAGGGCTTTCCTCTGAAAGCATGGTCAAGGTTACTGAATAACTAGAAGTCAAAATCAAGCAATTAAAAAAAACAACAACAACACCCCAAAAATCTATTTAGAGTTCCCTAATCACATTTCCAGTGCAGTTGCATGTTAGCAGCAAAAACAACAGGACTCCATGGCACTTTGAAGACCAGAACATTGACTGCGCCATAAGTGTTTAATCAAGATTAAAAATTCTTCTCCCAGACCAAATAAAGATATTGCCATCTTTTGCATAAGAAAACAGTAGGGTATTTTTTAATTTCAAAACACACACACACACACACACAGAGAGAGAGAGAGAGAACTAGTTTTCATTAAAATCAGTCTGAGACAGGGTTGCCAGCTGACCGTAAAGAAATGCCTGCTTCTGTTCCTTTCAACAACAATTGGAGCGACAGTAACCAGGAGTTGTTCTTTGTGATTTGGAGACAAAATATCCTCACCAGTGTTAATATCGGCAGGTCAAACTGCTTTAAAGGCACCCTCCTTTTCCTCTTCATCCAATAATAAAACACCTAACATTTTAAAAAGTGCTGTACACATATTAAAATATCAGGCCATTCCTGCCCACAGGCTTGCAATCTAATAGAAATTAGATGTGTTTAAAAGCTGGCAACTCTAGTCTGGAATAAGGGATTTTCTGGCCTGGCTATTGCATCTTTAATGGCAGTCTGATATGCACCAACACAACAAGCAGGTTTAGCTGCGTGCATAAGAAAAGGAAAAGTTTAATTTGCTAAATTGCTGCACCACATCAGGGTGCTGTTGAGAGCAGCAGAGCAGGGCCTGCAAAAAAAGGTTGGTGACTGTAGCCTGGGAAGAGAGGGCACCTGGAATCTTGCTTGAGGGTTCTGTGGGGCAAACACTTGCCTGCACTTGGGTCCATTGGCCACTAGGGGGATTCAAAGATGTTTTAAAAGGGACCCTAGGGATTTAGCATTCTTATGGAAAGAGATAAGAGAGCTGCTAAGCCGATCATTGCAAATATCATATGATCAGTGCTTTTTTTCTTTAAAAAAAATGTTTAGGGGTACTGTCATTTTCCTACTCATATTGAAATACTGCCCCTCAATGAGGCCAAACTTAAGATTCACAAAATGTTTCGGGGTATTGGTACCCCTGCGTACCCCCCAGAAAAAAGCACTGCATGTGATTTTAAGGCGTTCTTACTTTTAAAAGGAAAACATCCTGTTAAAATACAGTGGTACCTCGGGTTAAGTACTTAATTCGTTCCAAAGGTCCGTACTTAACATGAAACTGTTCTTAACCTGAAGCACCACTTTAGCTAATGGGGCCTCCTGCTGCCGCCGCGCCACCGGAGCCCAATTTCTGTTCTCATCCTGAAGCAAAGTTCTTAACCTGAAGCACTATTTCTGGGTTAGCGGAGTCTGTAACCTGAAGCGTATATAACCTGAAGCGTCTGTAACCTGAAGCATATGTAACCCAAGGTACCACTGTACTGCTGCTTTTCACAATGAAGCTCTTTCAAAAAAAGAAAGAAAAAAGAACTTCCATCACCCTTCCCCACAGAATGGCTGAAAAACGCCAGGATTTTATGTCATAGAGGGACGCTACAGAGAAAGAGAGATTGTGAGAGAGCAGCAGTTTCATTTCTAAATTCACTTAAGTCAGATCTACAGAGACATGGTATACCCACATTTCAAAATTAATTAAAAGTTACTGTGTTAAAAAGTCAGCTTCCATGTAACAAATGTCTCCAGCCCCAGAGAATTAATGCTTCGCAGATCACTCATTGTACTAAGATCCAGCGACTGCACACTGCACAGCGATGATAAACCTTTTTACCTGTATAGAACTCAGGGCAAGCTGAAAAAAGGGGAATCCCATGTCTGAAAGATTTCTCTGTGTGTGCACGCACACATAAATCCATATGTACACCAAACGAAAACCAGAAGGGAAGGTTTTTCCCATGGGGGGGGGGAGCTTTCAAACACGCAACACCCACACCTGAAATAGTTCAGTCTGAAATCCTTTCCTATGTGATTCTCTTTCTCAATTAAGTGCACTTCCCACCAAGTTTTCTTCTGGATATGCTCCCTACCACAGGATGTGCAGAAAACGGCAACAAAGGCCACACTCATATCATGAATTTAAAGCTCTATAGTGCCACTTTAAACAGTTGTGGCGTCCCCCAAAGAATTCTGGGAGCTGCAGTTTGTTAAGGCTGCTGAGAGTTGTGAGAAGGCCCCTGTTCACCCCACACAGATACAATTTCCAGAGTTCCCTGTAAAGAGGGGTTGATTGTTCAACCACTCGGGGAATTGTACCTCGCTGAGGGAAATAGCGAGCTCCTGACAACTCTCAGTCAGCACCCTTAATAAACTTGAAGCCCTCAGGGTCTCTTACTATGTGTAGACTGAGGTGGTGTGTTACAGTATGCTAGTGAAATGCGTTGTTTTAATATTCAAAATGGAGGCTCAGGGCCGGCCCAAACATGAGGCAGGCTGAGGTAGCTGCTTCAGACGGTAGAAGCCCTGCCACCAGCATTGCCAGCAGAGAAGTGGTGGCGTCGGCTTCCGGTGAGATATCATGAGGTCTTGCAGAAATCTCAAAAGTCACTGCTTTGTGGGCCTCACTGTGCAACCCAGGTAAAGGAGGCTTTGGTGAGGGTGGGGCAGTACCTTCGCATTTTGCCTCAGGTGGTGAAACAGAATGCACCACCCCTGCCGAAGCTTTCCTGCCCCATCCTTGGTCCTCTAGCCCTAAACAAGAAGCCCGCAACTGCCTCTGACATTGCCTCTCCCTTCTCCTTGTTGCTAGAAGAGCACATCTTTATAGACTGTGATAGAGGCTTTAATTACTTAGTTTGGCAGGGCGAGAAACCTTCGTGCTGGCGAGCTACGGCTCTCTGAGCTGAGCTGGGGACAGGAGACAGACAGCCTTGAGCCCCAGCTGCATGCTTCGCCGTTGACGTAATGTTGAAGATTTTTCAAATGTGTGTCAGAAAGAGAAAATGGACCTGTGGTTTGGTGCACCTTTAAAAAAAAATGTCAAGAAGGAAAAAAAAGGAGGGAATCTGGCAGCTGCAGGTGTGCTTGTTCATTTGTTTAAAATATCAATGCTGTTATTGCTATGCACACACACATCATCATCATCATCATCATTATTAAAAAAGAATGAAATTGTCAAAGCTACGCTGTAGGCAGCAGTACCCAAAAACTGGACCTGGGATGGGAATTTCCCATCTTGTTCCCTAGTGAAACAATCTGGGAAGGTACAGCTATGTTGATCAGGCAATGACAGAAATATTCTAGTACCGGTATATTACAGAAGTGGTTTAAGTGTTCGTATATGGCCCACCTGGTGAATCTAGAGGCATCACACAGCCTGCCAATCACAGACACCTTGGAAGTAGGTGTTTTGGTTTGTGAACTTTGCCTTGGAAGCAGAACATGTTTCGCTTCCTGTTGAGTGTGTTCCATTTGTAAATTGAGTCCCCCACTGCTAGGGAAAGCATGCCTTGGTTTAAGAATGCTTTGGTTTAAGAACGGACTTCTGGAATGGATTAAGTTCGTAAACCAAGCTACCACTGTATTTTGCTTTATCCTGCAATTATTGCTATCTGGAGGACTGCCTGGAACTTTTGTGGTATAAAAAGTTACAGGATTTCAGCAGGAAGTTAGGGGGCATTCATTTACTGTACTGCTTGCGAATTCTGTTCTGGAAGATGCTGGGAGGTTCCTTAAACACTTCTCAAGAGGTCCCTCAAGAAAAGTATCAATAATGATGGGAAAGCAGCCAGTTTGGCTTCTCCAAGGACAGCCTTCAGGGGAGTTTGGGGTATTTCGAGGTCACACACATGGTATATTGAAGGTAGGAGAAAACTAGGTCCTCCTAGGATCTCTCCAGTTCACAAGGATTTTGTGGCAAGTGGTCAGGTGTGCCTCAATAGACATGGTGATGTGGAAAGTGTTCCCAGAAGGTGGAAAGACTGAGAAACATTGATGGGCTCTACCTATCTGCTGCCCCATTTGAGGAGTGGGGAATGTGTGGACCTCCTGATGCTGATGGTCTTCAGACTCAGCAGGCATGGCCAAGAGTGAGGGATGATGGGAGTTGCAGCCAGCAGCATCTGGAAGCTCACAGGCTCCCCATCCCTGCTCCATTCCATCCTTCCAAGAAGGGATGTCCTTCTTGGCCTTAGTTGACTTGTCCCAGACTCACCCTGAAACAAGAGAGAGGCCAAACCATGAGACCAGCCCTTGACCATTCTCATGAGTCTTTAGCTTCCATGTTGGCCTCCTCTTTAGCCAAACCAAGCCAAACCAAACCAAACCAAACCAAACCAAACCAAACCAAACCAAACCAAACCATGTTCCTCTCTTGCGAGGGAGCCATGTCCACAAAGGTGCCAAGGAAGATTTTGTGGAAGCTGCTGTTCCACGCTTTCCCTCCTACCCCCTACCCCCCCATTGGTAGCTGCTGAGGCCCCACTGTGTGAGAGCTACTGAAGGAATCAATCATCCTAATGAAACTGCGGCCTGCCATGCGTGCCGGCTCACCGTGGGAGCACCGAGGACTGGAACCGGTGCCAGCATTTCCAGACGGTTCAGAGATGCTGGGCCCAAAGCACGCCTGAGAAGGAGGCGGCTGATGGAATATGAATAACTTTATTTGTGCCATGGCAACTGTACCTTGGCGACACTGAAATTCAGCTGGCACGGTTGTACACGGGAGTCTTTAAAGATATCGATACACGGCTTTGGAAACCAGGAGCAGAATGGGCCAGTTAGGGCCACTAAGAGAGTGTTGTACTGATAAGGCTGTTATCAAGACTGACAATCACAGTGGGGAGGAATGGCAGCAAAAGCTGGTCCATTAGGGCAAATGGGGCACTGACCTCGGCCAGCCACCATCTGCCTGCCTCCTGTCTTACAACAAATCAGGTGCGGCGCTGCCTTCCATTGGCTCCATCTCCACCTACTGCTGGTCTCCTCTCCTTCTACCCTATGAGATCCCATGGAGCAGCAACCACCATTGAGGAATGGTGCCCATCAAAAGGCAAACTAGCAGAGAGTCCGTATTTGCCCTGTGGCGTCCTGCCGGGTTCCAACCAGCCCTGCATGTTATTTAATATCTGAAGCCGCTGGTAGATGTCATCAAGAGACTGGGAGTTAAGTGTCGTCAATAGGCAGATGACACCCAGCCATCTCCCTCTCTCTGTTCAATCTGAATTAGTAGAAGCAGCTGCATGCCCTCTGTATCAGTATTGAACTTTATTTCGGCCGCAGACCAGCATAAGATAAAATATATAGTAAAACTGAACACATAAGACAGGTAAGGGATAAAAACTAGTAGTTAAAAGGTGATGATATCATACACACTTAAAAAGACAGAAACAAGGACAAACGGTTAAAAGCGACTATAACGGAGGGAGTGTGAAGGAGTGTTTTGGGCCTAAAATACACTCCAAGTGCCCCTGTTTTCCAGGGACAGTCCCGGAATTACAGAAGCTGTCCCAGTTTCCGGTTTGATCCCAGAATGTCCCAGTTTTCCCTTTTTCTTCCCCTCCACGTCTCAGAGAACAATTAAAAGTGGTGTCTGTGTGTAGATGCAAAAATGGAGTCCTGTTTATCCTGGAAATAAAATACCCGCACCAAATGAAGAAAACGGTGTTGCTGGCATCCGAAGCCCTTCCTACGATTTTGAAAGAACACATCACCAGTCCACTTTAAATTCTTTAACTGCAATGCAAAGAGGTGCTTAGAGGCGGTGATAGGCTGGATGTGGGCCAATGAACTGCAGCGGAACCCTGAGCAGACAAAAGTATTGTGCGTCCTGAGTCCTCAACTCTGGGAGATGGGGAGACATCATGTTTTGGGTGAGGTTGCTCATCTTCAGAAGGAGCAGGTCTGCATCTTGGGAGATGCTCCGGGATTCAAGACTTTTCACTGGAGGCTCAGGTGGCCTAGACGGCTAGGAGTGCCTTTTCCCAGCCCCAGCTCGTTCGCCAGCTACCGAGATGATTTGGCCACCGTACCCTATGCTCTAGCGGCTTCCAGACTGAATTATTGCAATGAGCTTTGAGTGGGGCTGGCTATGAAGACGACTCAGAAACTGCAATGGGTCTGAAAAGGAGTGGCCAGATTACTACTGGCTGGCATTCTCTTTAGAACTCACACAACCCGTCTTTTAAAACAGCTGCATCGGTTGGCAGTTCGTTTCCAGCCCCGTTTCAAGGTACTCATGCTAGTGTTTGAAGCCTTCAATGACTTAGGCACCCCCAAGCCTGAAAGACCACCTGGATAGCTCAGTTGGTTAGAGCACGGTGGTGATAATGCCAAGGTTGCAGGTTCAAATCCCCATATGAGACAGCTGCATATTCCTGCATTGCAGGAGTTTGGACTAGATGGGTCTGTGGTTCCCTAAAAGACCATTTTGGATGCTAAGATAATTGGAGGGGGGGCCTCTTGGTTGTTTCACCACCCTCCAAAGCTCGGAGGGGGTGGCAGCAGCCCAAGAAAAGGCAGCTTCACTATGCAGTTCTGGGTGAATGTTGAATACACACCTCTTTGTTTGGGCTTTAATACCAGACACGTCAAGAGTCCCTATTTTCCATGGATGTCCCTGATTTAGCAAAGCAGTCCCAGTTTCTGATTTGATCCAGGAATGTCCTGCTTTTCCTTAGGATGTCTCTATTTTCCCTGAAGAAATGCTGGAGGGTATGAAGTTATCCGACCCCACAACTGTCTGAAGGCAGCCCTGTACTGTATAGGGGAGTTTTTTAATGTTTAATAATGTATTTTTATATGTTGGAAGCCGCCCAGAGTGGCTGGGGCAACCCAGTAAGATAGTAAAATAGTAAACAGTAAAATAGAAGGGGGAAAACCCTATTTTCATAGGAGAAATGTTGACGGGTATGCAATACCCGAGATGTATGTTTTTAGGACCCACTTTATTTCTGTAGTGGTTAGTTGTTTTAAACTGCTTTAATTGCGTTCTCTTTTTTCAAAGTGTTGTAACCTATCCCAGGAACTTATGGGGAAGAGTGGGAAATAAAATAAAATAAATTATTATGCACTACTGTTTTAAACTTCTGATGGTCCTGGGATAGCTCAGTCGGTAGAGCATGAGACTCTTAATCTCAAGGTTGTGGGTTCGAGCCCATGTTGGGTAAAAGATTCCTGCATTGCAGGGGGTTGGACTAGATGACCCTTGCGGTCCCTTCCAACGTCTATGATCTATTCTATGATTTTATTCATATTTATTTCCTTAGCCTCCTCTGCTGCTACCACTGGCAGGGGGTTGCTTCCCTGCTCCTTCCCCTCCATGGCAGCAGCAGCAGGAGGAAAAGAATGCAAAGTTACACAAATGCCTGGAGTTTATGCAGGTTGCAGAATTCAGTGTTTCTGTTTGTGCTGTGGAATTTTGAAAAGAGAGGGGTTTGCAGGGCATGCATACAGTCCTGGCACGAACTATATATATATATATATATATATATATATATATATATATATATATATATATATGCTGGAATTGGGCGTGCTCAGGCATCCCCCCATATCTCGGCTGCAAAGCAAGATGTGTAACCGTGTGTGCTGGTTGTGCAAATGGCCGTATGGGGGTGTGTGCGAGAAACAGCCCCCGCCAGCTCTCATTTCTGCCCTGCCGTCTGCCAGCCTCTTCCCACCCACCCGCCAGCACCGTCGTATTTTATGTGGCGCGACATCCTTCGGAGAACGCTCGCTCTCCGACCCCACCTGTTCCCGAGCTGCGCGAAAGCCCATTAATGAAGTTGGGCTGGCCCAGGAAGGCAGCCAAATCCTCGTGTCCTCATCAAAAGAGACATCTGTCCTTATGAAGAAGTAAGAGATTCCCCCAAGGGGAAAGAGGAAAGGAGGAAATGGGGGGGGGGGGGAGAGAGAGAAGGGAGGAATTCTGCCTTTGATACCCTTGCAAAAAAAATATATATTTTATTTTTGTAAAAAATCATGCATTCCATAGCAGCGCAAGAGAACCCCCCGTCCTTGCAAATGCAGACAATGGACAGTGTTCCAGGCCTCGATGCCCTTCAAACCTTGCGCCGCCTTCCACACTGCATATTGGGAAGAAATTGTTGAAAAGAGCTCCCGACTTTCTTTTATTCATGTGTTGTTTTATTGCTGGCAAAAGCTGTCAGAGGGCGACTTCTGCCAAAAAGCATCCCCGAGCATCTTGGCCTAACATACAAACGGCATGCTAATGTGGAAATTTTTAAAGAGCCTCTTTTGGTTTTTAAATCGGAATTTTAAATGAACGGCAAGGCGCAGAAGGGACCCAGTCAAACGCTAACAATAATATCGCATCTTTCTCCCTGTTCTCTCTCTCTCCCCCCCCACAACCCCCGGCTCATCCGACAGCTCCTCTTTCCTCCAGCAGGCAAGGAACGTGGCAAGAATTTACCACACTTTGGCCTCCTTAGGGTGGCTGCTTCTCTGTTCTGTGAGAAGGGGGTGAAGACAGAGTTGGCATGTTTGGAGGAAATGATGGTTGAGGGGTGTGGGGGTGATTCTCCAGGGCTTAATCAAAACTAGCCTGCCTCCACAGCCAAATTTGTTTTCAGTGCCAGACACCACATGCTATACAGCTGCAGTGATCCAAAGAGAGAGCTTCTGAACATGGGCAGAGTGCCTCTCACGTATCCTTGAGCCACTGCAACCAACAGCACATAGTTTCAATTTCAAGTACCAGCTTACCTACCTCCCAAAGGCCAGCTTTCAAAGAAAAGGTAAAGGTAAAGGGACCCCTGACCATTGGGTCCAGTTGTGGCCGACTCTGGGGTTGCGGTGCTCATCTCGCTTTATTGGCCGAGGGAGCCGGCGTACAGCTTCCGGGTCATGTGGCCAGCATGACTAAGCCGCTTCTGGCGAACCAGAGCAGCTCACGGAAACGCCGTTTACCTTCCCGCTGGAGTGGTACCTATTTATCTACTTGCACTTTGACGTGCTTTCAAACTGCTAGGTTGGCAGGAGCAGGGACCGACAACGGGAGCTCACTCCGTCACGGGGATTCAAACCGCCAACCTTCTTATCGGCAAGTCCTAGGCTCTGTGGTTTAACCCACAGCACATGCAATATATGTTGTTGCAATGCCACAGCTCCACTGAAGACAAAGATCCAAATTAAAGTTGCTATACACATTCAAAGCATCACTCTCGAGTCTGAGCATCACTTTCTGACCCCTGTATCTGTTTTACAGAACAGCGGAAGAGAACAGATGCAAAATATGTTGCAATGTGATATCTGAAGTCAGGGCTGGCCCTACCATTTGGCAGAAAAGAGGCAGTTGCCTCTGGCAGCAGAAACTGGTGGGCAGGAAGCAGTGGCGAAGTGTTGGAGGGCAGAACTGTGGCTGCGCTGCTACACAGCCTGTCCTGCACATACTCAGCTAATCTGCTGCCTTCAGATGCATTTAAGGATTTGGAAAATTCAGTTGCCCATCCAGAGAGCTCCTTTATTCACTGTGGGTGTGCATGTGCCATCTTGTCCTTCACCTTAGGCAACAAATTCTGTGAACCACCCTGAGACATTTGGGTATAGGGCAGTATATAAATTCAATAACAAACAAACAACACAACAACAACAGCAGCAGCAGCAGCATGTCTTGGGCACACCCAATCTGAAGTGAGATTTCCTGACCACCATGCTTTAGAAGTCCATTTTGTAACCTATGGATGAATGAAACGTTCTGCCTGGGATACGGATAAAGCAGCTCTTTTCTAATATTTGTTCAGAATAAATAGGACCAAAAGCCATGAGGGAAGTCTTCTATCACATCAGTCCCATATCATCAGCTAAACCACTGTTTCCCAAACTTGGGTCTCCAGCTGTTTTTGGACTACAATTCCCATCAGCCCTGACCACAGGTCTTGCTAGCTAGGGATGATGGGAGTTGTAGTCCAAAAACAGCTGGAGACCCAAGTTTGGGAAACACTGACCTAAACCATGGTTTAGGCCAGCACTAGGAAACATCAAGTCTTCTAGACCTTTGGACTACAAATCCCATCTTCCCTGACCATTGGCCAAGCTGACTGGTGCTGATGGGAGTTGTCATCCAAAACATCTGGAGAGCACCACATCGGCTACCCCTAAGGGTGGGAAACCTGTCGCCTTCCAAATGTTGTATGCCCATCAGTCCCAACCAACATGGCTGATGGTCAAAGGTGCAATACCTGGCGACCTCCACACCTGGTTTAGGTGACTGGGAACAAACTTCATTGAGCCCTTGAGCTCCTTTGTGTGCAAGAGGAACAGAACGGAAGCATTCTGCTTTACGGGGAAAACACAGTTCAGTAGCATGTATGTGAACTCAAGGTACTTTTCACAAAAACTAAGAAACAAACCAGAGTTACTTTTAAACACACAGGACCCAAAGTTGGCCTGATAGTCTTGCTAGTTAGCAAACCCTAGTGGAACCCTGTGGGCTAGCAGCAGAAAGAATAAGGCACCTGGACACTGTTCTAACCTACTGGAGCCTTAGAGAAGCTTGCATTGCTGCCATGGTATCCCATTGCCTGCTGTTCGGTTTTTTACACTGCTCAGGTACTCAGTTCAACCAGGTGAAATTTACAAAAGCAACAAGAGGAAAGAAGTTGATCCTAAGGTTGATGGTAAGGTGTACTTTGACTTTCATTCACGGTCATCAAGGCAAAGGAACCCACAGCACTCCTGAAGTTGAGTTGTGATTCTCATCTTCCCTGACCGTTGGCTGTGGTGAACTGGAAGCTAACAGAAGGACCACCCAGTTCTCCATTGCTGACACAGGAGGTCTATCATACTCTCTGGATGGAACTTTTGCAGCAGTAGTAACCGCATTTGCCGATGAAAACCACTTCTGGGCGTGGCTGCTGTGTCCAGTGTTGGTTTCTGCACAAGTTGGCCTCATTGCGCGGCAAGCAGCACTTTCCTGGCACACGACCTGCCTGACCCACAGGGGAAGCAGGCTGCAGACCCTCACCTGTACAACCAAGGCAGGTCTGGTGGCCCTTGGGACATTGTTGTATAACTCCCAACCCCCACCAGCCCCAACCAGCATGGCCAATGGTTGGTGTGTGTGTGTGTGATAGGAGTTGTAGCCCAAGAATGCCTGGAGGGCGGCTGGTTCTCCACCCGTTGGATGGTAATGTTGGAATAAACCCATCACACCTCGGTCCATCTGTCCGTCTGTCTCTCTCTCTTTCACACACACATAAGAAAAAGCAAGCAGAGATTTGGAACGAGCCTGCACAAATCCTGTTCCCAGTTGCTCTCAAGTAGCTGATGGAAAGGTGATCTTGTCTAGTCTGTGGGCTGACTCAGCCTAGCCAGTCTGCGCCAACAGATTGCATTTTCCTTTCTTTTCTCCGCACCTCCCCCCCCACTTTTTTTTTTGCAAACCACATGGTGTTCTGTTTTTTTTTAAAAAAAATGGCACCCAAATCAAATCCTCCTCTCGCCCCCTCCCTGCAGTCTTGGCCATTGCCGTGCCAGCAATTTATTAAGGACGAATGTACCAGTTGTTGCTAAGCAACAGGTCTCGGCACAGGACAATCAGCGGAGGCAGAGTGCTGGCGACCCCGGTGGGAAATGCGTTTGGAAAAGTTGCCCAGAACCGAGTTTCAGCCTCGAAGCTGGGCAAGGAGGTCTTTCCGGGCCTTTCCACGTAATTATGTAAAGCGTGCCCCAAATTCGTTTTTTCCCTGTTGCCGGAGTGCAGCGGGTCCATAAGGCACATTTGGAAGATAGCAGCGGCATCACACCTGCATGTAATGAATCTGGGAGGAAACAGCCCTTCCTGCTCGGCTGTGCGCTAGGTGTGTTGGCCGCGTGGCAGCCTGCCTGCCTAGCAAATGGGTTTGGGGCATTTGCGAACCACCCAGTGCTCGACACTGTTAGCGTGCGGGGTGGGTGGGGGCAATGGATGTGATAGGCCAGGGAATTGCCAACAGCAGGAGATGCTGCAGAGAGGTCCACCTCAGGTTTTTAGGCAGGAGATTATTAATTATTTCGTTTGCCAACTATATTTATCGAATGCCTTTCCTTTCAAAAAATGAAACGAAACCGCCCAACACAATTTGCAAGGTTATACTGCATCAGTTTAAAGCCAAAGGCTGTGAACAAGCAGTTAAAGAAATAATAGTAATAGTAACAACAACAACAA